ATAAAAAGAATCACACAGGGCTGGGGCTGTAGCTCAGTGGTAGAGCCCTTGCCTCGCATGCATGAAGCATCCAGTTCAGCATCATATAAAAATAAATAAATAAATAAAGATGTGTCCATCTATAAGTAAAAAAAAAAAAAAAAAACAGAAGAAGAAAAAGAGAATCATACAGTAACCCACCAGGTACCACCACCAACTTCAACTTGGGAACACGTGGGTCCTTCAAACTTCTCCTGCCTCTCAACGACCTCAAGGTCAGGAAGGTGACTGGCCTTCTGCTTTGTGGCCAGTGCTCCACCACTGAGCTAGTACCAGCACACAGACACCTCTGTGACACACAGCCACAGCCACCAAACCCCAGGCCCCCGCTGAAACACCGCTGCTGCTCCCCAACCCCCAACGGTTCAGGCCTCCTCCTTCCCAGAGGAGCTCTGTGCAATCCTAGAGAGTGCCCAGCCGCTGCGGAGGAGCTGCCCCTGGGGACATATATGCAGGCTCAAGGCCCAGGAGCAGCTTGTTCCCCACCTTCGTCCAGAGAAATGCCCTGGTCTGAGCAGAACTTTCCCCAGAGGGATTCTCTCAAGAGGAAACCCAGCAGCATCCTCTCAGCTGCTAGCCACCTCGGAGCGCCCGCCTGCTGTCCTCTCCGCGCAGCTCTTCCTGTCCCGGGGAGGAAGGGGCAGGTCAACCCAGGAAGTCGTTGGCACAGAGGAAGACAGCCAGGCCAGGAGGGCATCCACCTGCAGCAGGAGTCTGGCCCTAGGAAAAGGTGCAGCCTCCTGCCTCGCTGCCACCTGGTGGAGCCTGGAGAAGACAGGCCACCGCCACCTCCCCAAGGCCCCATGTCCTGCTCCTGAGGTGCCTGGCATCAGAGCGCAGCAGGCCCTTGGKTGTGGCCTCCTCCTGTGACCAGCCCTTGTGGGACCAGTGCCACATGTAGCCCAAGCACACCAGTCAGTGGTGGGACGGTGGCTGGGGTGCAGAGTCGCTCCCCAGTGGGTGAGCCCGGTAGCTGTGGGCTTGGAAGGGGCGCAGGCCTGCAGTGCTGTGACCTCACATGGGGCCAGCAGCCTTTCCTGTTGAAGCAGCCGGAGTCGGGGCTTTTACGCTAAATTATGATAATGCCCGACTCCCCAAATCCGGGCACATCTTTAATTTGTATCAAGACAGAATTTAATAATTAACTTATAAGACTTAAAAAAGCCAATGCCTGTGTCCAGCACAGACTAGACCTGGAGGCAGGAGACACACAAGCACCGAGGGAACCATCCCCTTGACCCTGTGACTTCCAGCCCCAGGCAGGGAGATGAGCAAAGACGCAGCCCCTGGCAGAGCAGGGCGGAGGTCATGTGCAGCAAGGCAGGACTCCGGCTGGTGTGGAGCCAGGAGCACTGGGAGAAAAGCTTCTGCCCGGGAAGCCCGTTCCCTGGAGACCACAAGGAGCCCCCAGAGGGACTGGAGACGCCCCAGCAGCCTATTCTCCAGAACCCACTCCAGGGCCAGGGGCACCCCCAGAGGCAGATGCTGGCACGGTGCCTGTGCAGGTCCCAACAGGAGGGGAGCAGGGGCGTGGCAACATCCTGGGGCGGGGCCAGAGAAACTGGACCCACTTCCCCAGAGCCCAGCCAGGTGCCTGCTCTCCTCGCCCCCAGTGAGACAGACTCCATGTCAACATAGGGCTCTGTGGGCATGTCCATGTGGGGATGTCACCGGGGRTGACACCATTGGGAGATGCCTTGGAGAGAGAGGTGCCCCTGTGGGGGATGCCACCATAGACACATCCCATGGGGGATGGGCTACTTCACAGACAGAATTAACTGTGGTTCTTCACTTGTGTTCCCTAAGGTCATAGGTTAGTAGACGCTATCGCGAGAGAGATGGCAGGTAGGTGTGGGCAGGAGGGCAACGCCTGGATAGAGACAAGTGGCAGGCAGGTGGGTGGGTGCATGGAAGAGACACCAGGAGGCAGGAGGGCAGGTGGGTGAGTAGTGTGTGTGCGGGTGACAGGTGTCAATGGGTAGGTGTGCACAAACACCCACATGGGTGCAAAGCTGTCTGCACAGTGAACTCCAGGGGATGCAGGGCGCCCGTCAAAGAGAGATGCCAGCTAACAGCTCAGCGGCCACCATATGGCACTTGAGGGACATCTCAAAACCCCTAATGGCAGCGGCTGTGGGAGAGATGGGCGCGGCTGTCACTGCTTCTTCCCGCCAGGTCCAGTTCAGAAGGCAACCAGCCTGTCTTCAGCAATGCCTTTCAGAACCAATTCCAAGCCAGTGCCCCTGGGTTCTCTGGTGACCTTTCTCTCCCCAGTAGAAAAGCCCACTGGGGAAGCATACCCATGGGACCTCCACCAGGGGTCCTCACCCTGCAGTGGGGGCCGGTGCACATGGACCCCACTCTGGGCCCTTTCTCTTGTGGGGCCACATAACAGTGGCAGGGCCTCCTTCTCATCCAACCTGCCAGGGCCGTGGCCGGGGTCTGGACTGTGGGTCCCAACTCTTGTCTGGTTCTCATCTTGGGACCTTCTAAGCCAGCAGGGAGGGACAGTCCCCTCTTGCCAGACTGTGTCTATGAAGCAGTATAAGCAAAGGCGGGGGCTCCCAAGAACTGGTCAGTGTTCCAGTCCCACTACCTGTAGGACTGTCCTAACTCCACTCACCATCCTACAGCTGGGGGTGGGCTCAAGTCCACCCTGGCTGGGCYACTCTCCTGGATGTGCCCCAGCACCCAGGGCTCTTCAGTTCCTGCCCACTGCCCCCATGCCCACCTCACCAGCGCCTAACCTCACTGGGAATCAGAAGCCTCAGCCTCCCAACAGGAGGCTAAAATGGGGGAGTTGCCGTCACAACTGCCACTGTGGAAGAACGGTGCAGAGACCGTCCTTGTGAGCCAAAACTGTCATTCTCCACCTGCTCAGAACCAGCCGTGGAATGGAGTCACTCTGGTGGCCTGGACTGCCCTGAGCCGCCCTTTGCAGCTTCCAGTCATCAGGCTGCAGCTGGGCTCCTTGTCTATTTGCACCGACATGTACTGGAGGGACGCGGTGTCCCCGAGATGGCCCTGCTAGCCTTATAGCCCTGGAGCTACTGCTCAGCCTCCCAGAATGTCACATCTGAACAGTGTGGCAGCGCAATGGCATGCTTGCTCCTTGAAGTCCGCGAGTCCCTGAGCCACAGAATGTCCTCACCATTTAGTTGCTCAAGGAAGCCTAAGTGAACGTCCCAGCCCTGTGACCTACAACCCATCTCTGCCTCGGCAGGACCTTCTGCATCAGGGCCTTCCCAGGCTTTCTGCCCCGTCTGCTAGAGGACAAGTGGGCATGGCACTGGAGGTTCCTTCTGAGGTGATAAATTGCTCCAAGACGGGATGCAGAGGCTGAGTGCTGGGCTGAATTACAGCTCAACATTTTTTAAGATGGGGAACCAGTCTTAAAAGGACCACAGATAACCATAGCGGCTTGGGAGGCTGAGGCACGAGGATCCACATCTCTAAATAAAGCATAGAAAGGGCTGGGATGTGACTCAGTGGTTAAGCACTCCTGGGCTCTATCTCCACATGGGAATGAGAATGGGGCCCTGGCAGGCCCTCACCACACCCACCACAGAGCACCTCTGCCCACCAGCTGCACTTGTAGGACAGTCCCCACAGTGACCCTCTGGTGTGTGCACCCTGTAGCTGGGCCCCTGCCACTTGTGCATGCAGACAGGTGTGCAAGCTGCCCAGGACAAAGGAACTGTGGGAAATGCTGTTTCCCTAATGGCCAAGGTCATTGAGACTAGAGGCGACTGGTTTCTGATTAGGGGGTTCACCACGAGCTGTTTCTTACATTTCTTATGGGCTTCAAATGCTGTGGGGAGCCCTGACCCAGCAGAGGCACAGGGCCAAGGGGAGCAGGCTGTGCTGGGGGGTTCTCAGCCACCAGCCTGGGTGAGGAGGGTCTTCACATGGACACCAGAGCCCACGGGGATTACTGGGTTCATGCAGTGGGGCAACACACACAGGAGTCAAAAGGGGCAAGTGAGGTGGCTACCAAGTGGGGTGAGGGCACCCAGCAAGAAGGGAACTGTAAAGCCAGAGGCAGGGCAACCTTGGCCCCAGGAACACCTACAAGTAAGGGAGTTGGCGGGAGAGCACAAAAGAACAGAGAAACCCTGGGTGTCAGCCAGGCACCCTCCCGGAGCAGGGAGATGGGCAGGTGCCAGGTGCAGATGCAATGGTTTACTTCACGTGCCGCCAGGCCCTGGCACCCAGACTCTGCTTGGACGCCCAGTCTTGCCTGTGGAAGGGCTTCTGGATGAGTTAAACACTGAATTGAGCAGATTCTTGGCAGATGACCCACCATGCTGTGGGGCTCTCAGGCAATCACTTGATGGCCTTTAGTTTAAGAACAACAAAAAACCCTGTCCCTGAGCAAGTGGGCACACTGCCTCTAGCCCCAGCAGTCGGCTCCCCCGACACCTGCCCTGCAGAGTTCATCCTGCAGCCCACAACCAAGCAAGCCAAGTCTTAAACACCTCTCCCCTACATTAAGGCACCCCTCCACCCATGGGGTAGGAGGTGACAGATGGCTTTGCCCTCCCCATGTCCTCCAACTTGCTTCCCAGCCGACCCCAGCCCCGGGAACCCACTGGGCAGGACAGAAGGGGGCTGAGTGCCCAAGTGGGGACATGTGTGGCATGCCCAGGCCTCCTGCCACAGGTGTGGTCTGCAGGCCCACCAGAATGCCAGGAGCCAGATTTTCCTGCCGTGGATATGCCAATCAACAAGKAGCTGCATGAAACCCAGCTCCCGGTGAGGCTGGCGAGTGCCGGGGCGGAGTCTCAGAGCCCTGTCCAGCTGGGCACTGCCAACACTCTGGCAGCTCTCACCAGGTTCTGAGAACTGGTAGACATTGTTTCCCCACAAAAATGGATATAAAATGCAAACAGTGCTCAGGAGCCCCACCTGCTGCTTCAGTGTCTACCCTGATGCCCCAGAAGGAGCAGAGCTGTGGAAAGGACTGTAGAGCGTTTTATTTCATGGACCCCAGTGGTGCAGGCCAGGCTGAGACAGGCGCTCAGAGTCCCCAAAGTCTGAACTTTGGCTCAAGGCCATCACACACAGGTGCATCTTCTGAGGCTGGCACAAAATGAAGGGCCCCCACTCTCCCCACCCCCTGCTTCTCCCCTTACAGAAGTTCAGGAGCCGTGGGCACTCAGAGGCCATGGCAACGGGCCAGGCTCCTGCCCCTCAGCCACCGACAAGGAAAGCCACAGCAAGCTCAGCAGCCACCCATCCTGGCCTGGCCACGTCATTTCTTGCTCTTCAACAACGGACTCTTCTTCCTCCCTGCCTCAGCTTCCTCCTCTTGTGGACCCCGCTCTGGCCACCAGACTCTGCACGTGCAATGTTGAGGCTGACCCTCTTCTGGCTCCTCTTCCTCTCAGTCCCTGAGCCCAGGTCTGGACTAGAGGCCTCCTCCTCGCCTTCCCCTGCTGAAACAGGAAGCACACTTCTTCCAAAACAAATCCCCTTCAGGCACAGCAGCCACAGCCCACCAGGGGACCCGCATCAGCACAGTCACCTGTGCTCGTGACAGGGAGGGCCAAGCTTGGAGACACATCACCAGAAAAACCAGTTGTCAAGAGGATGGATCAGGAGGCCCAGTCGTGGAGCAAGGCGTGGAGGGGGTGGGACTGGCCCAGTGCAGGGAGGGGAGGACGACCCTGGCTCAGGGCCGAGCTGCCAAGCCCTGAGTTTGATTCAAGTTGCACACCTGTGCATTCGGCTCAGGTGTTGGGGCCCAGCTGAGGGCAGGCTGCTGGGAAGTCACTGCCCAGGTGGGGACAACACGGGAAGGGGCTCAACAGCAGTGGGCGGCCCAGGCCAGGTCAATCCAGATGGCGGGGAGGGTTCTTCAGCTCCCTGCAGCGCCATATCTGGCACAGGGCACTGCCTGCCCCAGGGCAAGCAGGCACTCAAGCCTACCACAGGGCACAGATGCAGGTCGGTCCTTAGCATAGGTGCCCTGTCCAGCAAAATCCTGTGGACACCAGGGAGGGACAGGGAGGAAAATGATTCTGACAAGGTCAAGAGCTGTGAAGCTCAAGGACTGCCAGAGGACATGGAAGAGGAGGGGCACATGGGAAAAAAAGAGGTAGGCGGCCCAGAGAAAGGCACCATGGTGTGGACAGGGCAGTTCCCACGGCCAGTGTGCTTCAGGCAAGGAAGCGGGATGGTGGCGAGTAGTCCCAGGATCAAGCCCTGAGACCACAACCGTGCAGGGCGTCCCAGAACTCGAAGCCAGCGGGCACTTGTGTCTGAAGAGGAGACTTAGGGAAAGACATCAGAGGTGACCAGGGGCAAGGGACAGGGCAGCAGGTGAACCACTTGGACGTTGATAGTCACCTCCAGTCCTCCTCTTGTTCTTTGACCTTGACTTCAATGAGCGCTTCCTCATCTTGCGCTCCCGCCTCCCTTCGAGCAGATGCCTGTAGGTTTTTTCCGGGATGTCGTCCTCGGGAAAGGTGCCTGAGAATCCGGGTGAGTCAGGAGGCTGAGAGTGGCTTGAAATGTGCTGCACACACCTGCCCGCGCTGCACTTAAGACAGGGCCTGTTCTACTGCCAGGCATGAGGTACTGAGCAACATCCCCACAGCTGAGACGGACAGTGTGAAGCCTGACCCGTCCCCGCCCAGAACAGCAGCATCTGGGAAGCCCTTCTCAGATCAGGCCGGTCTACTTCTCAAATAAGCAGTACCGTGGAGGGGCACAAGGGTCCCTTCTGTACCACTGTGGGTGCTGCGCCCTGCGCAGGCCCACCCAGTGTGTGTGACTCATGCCCTTCACTGCATGAACTTCACTAAAACTGCTGGCCTTCAGCTCCTGATGCCATCAGGGAAAGGCCACCATGTGGACAGAGGATGGATTGATAGGCAAATAAGTGATGAACAGGACAGTCAACACTGCTGTCAGAACCCAGGGGCGGGCACGCAAGCACCCAGGTAAAATACTTCAACTGGCTGCATTTTGAAATCCTGCATAACCCTCCCAAGGAGCGGCCTGTAGGGTCACCTACGACACATGCTGCAGAGTGGAGAAGCTCCCTGCCCAAGTGGCAACACCTCCATCAGCCACTCCAAAGCCCTGGACCAGCACCGTGTCTCACAGCCACCAGGGGCCAAGGATCACTAAGCACTAGAGAACAAGGGCTGCAGAAAACCTCAGCCTGCCGCCCTGCCCTGCCCCGTAAGCCGTGAGGGAGCACGGGGAACCACCACAGGGCCATAGGGATGAAGGCCTCCAAGATGGGGTCACATGGAGCCAATCCAATCCTCACCTCCAGCCAGGTCCTGCAGCCTGCAAGAGCAAGACAGACTCTGTCACACACAGCCTTGGTTCTGCCAAAGCTGCGTCCTGGGGACACACCCAGAGCTGCTGAGGGGCCCGAGACACCTGCCCTTGGTGAGACAGGCCAGGTGCCCTGAAAGACACTCACTTCCGGATCACTTTGTAGAGGCGCTTCCTGTTCTGAGAAGGAGTGCTCTGCCGACTGGCCACTTCAAACAGCCTGTTAGCAACGGCCTCGTAGTCAAACTGTTTCAAAAAGGGAGGCCAGGTCAGTCACCTTCCCAAGCAGACCTCAGTCCAGCACGTGGACCCTGCAATCCACTGGCCCACACCAGCACAGGCTCAGGGTCTCCGTACCTCCAGAGTGGCACTGCCCGGCACATTTAGAGGGCTACAAAGCTAGCCCCACTCACAACCTTAAATTCCCAGCAGCCACAACCAGATGCAGAAGTAGCATGTGACAGTAATCTTACTCTTAGCCCAAAGTGCCCAATTTTCCTTCACCTTACAGCAGTAAGCACTGTATTCCAACTCAGGTCGCTGCTTTGGCTCCCAGTGCAACCCAACGCCAACCACTCAGCATGTGTCCCCTCATGAAGCCAGCTCCCCACCCAGCAGGGGAGGTCTGGGAAGGCCGCCTACTTGTCCACGGCTAAAGGACTGCTGTGGGGCCAGCCTCTGCACCCACCTTCCCAGCACATGACCCCAATCCCACTCACTGGCCCTGCCCCTTGCAGGCAAGCAGGCCTGCCGTCTGTCCTTCCTCCAAAGCTGACCTCTATGAAGGTCAGTCTCCAAGTCCATATCTATCACCCTCCATTCTGGAGTCAGCAGCAGAGCAGAAGAGCAAAGGCTAAGCTCACCATCCACAGGCCCAGATACCTACCTGGAGGACAGGGCCAGCACTGTCCTCATCGTCTCCTGTCCCCTTGCCCTTCTCAAGGTCAGTTCTGCATATGGAGCCTAAAATGAAAAGGACCTCGTCATCTCCAAAGCCCCTGGGAACAGAGCAGGCACAGGACGGGGAGSACAGCAGGTGGCTGTCGGGTGATCTCCTAGATGGGCCTCGGCAGACCTCAGGCAGCAAAGCTGGTGGTGAAGTCCCACAGCAAGGTCAAAGGGCAGCCAACCCAACCAGAGGGCTGGACCAGGGGCAGTGGGAGACCACTTCAGTCAAGACCCCCTTGCCAGGCTGGGTGCTCAGGGGTTTGCTGGTGCTGACTTCAGAAGGCAGGCACAGGACAACAGAGCTACAGGGGCAGCACACATGGAGAGTGACAGCGGCAGGGCCGTGGGCTGCTCTGGTGCACCACAAGCAGGATTCAGGGACCTGCCTGGAGACTCCAGGATGACAGAAGAGGGCAAGGGGGGCCAGGGAAGGTGCACACAGATGTCCCCAGATGATGCGCTGGGGACAGAGGGGTGTGGGCTGATCCCAGGAAGGCCAAGGGGTCACCAGCATGGGCACTGAGTCCTAAGCCATGGGTGACCTGCCCTTCCAACAGGACATGTCACGTGGTACACAGCCCCTACAGCAAGACTGGAAGCAGGCAGGCTAGATCTGCTGCTGCCAGAGCACCCCAAGTCACCTATGGAAGTCAGGGACTACACCCAGCATGGTACCCAGGTACAAGGGACAGACAGAGCGCCAGGTCCTAGTGGGAGACATGGGCCAGGAATAAGGAGCTTAATAGAGCAGCTGATGGCTGTCACTGTGACTGACCCAACATGGAGTAACCCAGCGTAAGGCAGAGCAGAGGCTGCACTGTAAACGGGGAGGGCAGGCAGCCTGAGTGACAGGTGGACAGGCTGCAGGCAGGCCCCAGGGAGCATTGCAGCCGGGCACAGCAGGGCCTCCAGGGAGCTGGGCTGGGGATTAGTGGGGATCGCACTGGAGGCCACAGCAAGCAAGGAGAGCAGAGACACGTGCCTGGTGCTCTCCAAGGTCACTGGCTACTGTGCTGCCAGGGCGCTCCAGGTGAAGCAGAAGCAGGGGACCAGCAGGCCACACAGGCTCAGTCCAGGACAGGCAACCGGAGGGCAGAAGCCCACCTTAGTATACTGTGACCCTCACCTGCAGAGTCTATGGGATGGCAGGTCCTATTCACACTCACCTTCCAGAGATTCACCGTCACCATCTGACGCCTCATCCTCCTCGTTCTGCGCATCCATTTCATTCATCAGGTCCTCAATGGCAAATGGGGCCTGCTCCACGATCGTATCAAAGATGCCCCGAGCAATGTTATGCAAAACCAGGGAGCTGAGAGGGTGAAATGGAAGCCAGAAAGCCTGCTGGACTCGGCTCTCCACAAGCAGGGCCGAGCATCCTCCCACCTCACCCCATGGCCAGCAGCCTCCAGAGCCCAAACAAAGTCAAAAGGGGCAGCAATCCCCAAAGGCAGTCTCACCCAGAAGCAAATGAGGAAGGATCAGGCCCCAGCCACCTGCCACTTACTCCTTAGTGCAGGCAGCGATCTTGCAGAAGGGGTCAATGAACTGCAGGTTCTGATCTGCGGTGAGCTGCGGGAAAGCAAGGGGAGCTGGTCAGTCCCCGGCACGTGCCACACTGAGCTCCATCACCCAACCAACACTGGCCTCACCTCTTTAGCTCCCACTTTGGTCAGCTCCTCCAGGAAGATCTCGATAAAGTGGCTCTTCACTCCATTGGGGGCCTGGCTGCTGGGGTGCAGGATCTCAGTGATCAGCAGCTGCAGAAGCTGCTCAACCTGCCTGAGTAAGAGGGCAAATACAGCAGCAGCCACAAGGGCCACACGCCACTGGTGCCCTGTCCCCTCTAAAAGCTCCCGCAAGAATGCACACAGGTGGGCACCTCCACCGGGAACACATCACTCTGCATCCACAGGTGGTCTGTGCAGCAAGGTGGCAATCAAGGGTGACGTGGCCACGGCCAGCACCGGAACAGTGTGCATGTGGGCCCCAGCAACCTCTGCAACAATCGAGATGCAAGTGGGAAAGGCCAGGCTGAGGCAGGACACTATGCCACCTTGGCCAGGGTACAGCTCAGGAATATGCATCAAGACAGAGCAGAGGTGGAGAGAAAGGCAAAGGCCAGGAAGGACTGCGAGCTGCAAGCCACCTGCTGGCCTCCCAGCCCTGCCACATGGAGTGCAGGCTGAGAACACATGCAAGTGGTAGCTCTTCCTGAAATGTGAGCCTGATGATCCCAGGGAGGCCCTGGACCCTCAGATCAGAGATCCCCAGGGAGCAAACAGTCTTTAGCAGTCTAGACACACCCAAAACCCCAGGGGCGCTAACAGTGCAGAGCCCCAAGCCCAGAGCCCTTAGGCAATTCCAACACAGAACAACTGGCTAAGGAAGGAAAAGTGACACTCTACCAGGCTCACAGGAAAGGAGGTGAGACCTGTGCTGACCAAGAGAAAGAGGCCACTGCTGGGCTCCTGCTGACACCTCATGCACTAGAAACAAAGACCTGTCTGCCTGTGGGGACTGGGATGGGATGTGCTGAGGCCCAAGCCATCACTCTGCCTGCCCAGGGAAAAGGTTACCAGTGCTCCCCAGGATACCCTCTGCAACCAGTGGCTGTTACCACAAGGATGGAGCTACTTTTCTATCTTGTGAACCAAAAAAAGGTAATCACAACAAAGTCACCCCGAGGCCCTGGGCCCCTTCAGGATGACCCATCAGCTCTCAGAGTCCTCACTGGGAATTCAAGGATGAAAATCACACAAAACCCGGTGCTACAGCCTGAGTGCAGGCTCACCCTCAGAAATTCACACCTCGAGGCACTCAGTGAACTAGTCCAACTCCTGCTGAGTCTCCTTCATGAAGAGAGAAAGTGGGCTGGGGCCAGGGCCTGTTCACTGTGTGACTCTGAAGACAAGGAACTAGGGCAGCCTGGGCCTCCAGCTGCATCTGTCCCAACAGCCCTCTGACAGCTGGGCAATGACAGGTTCGTGGATTTAAAGCAGCTCCTTTGGGCACACTTTCTAATTACAAGTCAACTCCAAATACACTTCCAATCCACTCTCCCCACTCACCCAAAAAAATTTAAAAAGGAGAATAAAGACAAAACCTTACAGCAGCAGAAGGCGGACAGAGGCCAACACTCAGTAAGACATGGAGTGCTCCGCAGAGAGATGCCTGCAGCACTGTGTTTTGTTGGATACTGGAGACAGAGCTCAGGGATGGTCTACCACTGGGCTCCCTCCCCAGGCCTTTTTGAGACAGGGTCTTGCTAAATTGCTGAGGGTAGCCTCAGCCTCCCAAGTCACAGACCACAGGCGGACACCATCACTCCAGGTGAATTTATAAGCAACCATAAAAAGTGAAAGTGACTTTTCAGGGATGGGAAGTAGTTCAGCAGTAGAGCATATGCTTTGCATGTATAAGGCATGGGTCTAATCCCAAGTACCTAAAGAAACATAAAAAAATATTTTTTAATATTTCATAGTAGTTCTCTGAGTTCTTTAAATCGTGCATGTATCATTTATACTTACAAAAAATGTAGGTAATTTTTTTTTAAAGAGAGAGTGAGAGAGAGAGAGGGAGAGAGAGAATTTTTTTAATATTTATTTTTTAGTTATCGGCGGACACGACATCTTTTTTTTGTATGTAATGCTGAGGATCGAACCTGGGCCGCACGCTACCGCTTGAGCCACATCCCCAGCCCAGGTAATTTTTATTAATTTAAAAAACTTGGGCTGGGGTTGTGGCTCAGTGGTAGAGCGCTCGCTTAGCATGTGTGAGACCCAGGGTCCGATCCTCAGCGCCACATAAAAGTAAGTAAGTAAAATGAAGATATCATGTCTAACTATGACTAAAAAATAAATACTAAAAAACAAAACAAAAACTTTAAACTGTTAAATATTCAAACTCACTTTACACTGGAGCACCCCGGCTACCAATGAAGGCTTGAAAACCCAACTCCCCAGCCTGGAGGCAGAGCCCTGGGTCCCCAAATGGCACCTGGCATCAGATCTCTAAGCCTGGGGTCTCCCAAACAGCAGGGAGGTGGAGCTGAACCCAGGCAGAGCACAGGACTCCTGGGCAGAAGCCCACTGCTGCCCAAGGAAGCCAGAGACTAGAGAAAACAGCTCACAGTGGGGAAGGAAAGGCTAACTGACCCCAGGTACCGCTGCTGAAGGTGAGACGTGGGGAGGGGTAGGACACATTTAGAACAGGGAGCACTGACCACTAACAGAGCTGAACACGTCTCTTTTTTATCAAAAAGGGCATCTTTAGCTGCCGGTCCAGCGTGCCCAGTAGACTCCATGCTGACTCTCAGGACTGACCGCCCTGGCTCAGAGCAATGGCACTTCCATGGGCACTAGACCACTTTTAACTTCTAGCTCTGAGGCCTCCTTCAACACGAACTCCAGAACCTCTTTATGACAAAGAATTACACGAGAAACTCAGGACTCCCTCCCCAGCCTGAGTGGCCCCAGGACTCGGGTTCGGCGAGAGGACTCACTTTTCTTCCCATCCTCGTGTTCTCACGGCCTTCAAGGACTCATTTAGAACCATCCGCATGAGCTTTGGTACAAAAGGAAACTCGCGTTAGGGGAACACAAGCCAGACTTCACTGTGGGCCTCCCCTCCATGCACCAGGCGCTCCCAAGGGGAGGGCTGCAGCAAGTGGCCAGCTGGAGAGCAGCTAATGGGATGAGTGCGGGGGACACCTCATCTTTTTTTTTTTTGGTACCAGGGACTGAACTCAGGGGCACCCAACCACTAAGCCACATCCCCAGCCCTATTTTGTATTTTATTTAGACAGGGTCTACTGAGTTGCTTAGCATCTCGCTGTTACTGAGGCTGGCTTTGAACTCGTGATCCTCCTGCCTCAGCTTCCCCAGCTGCTGGGGTTACAGGCGTGCACCACCACGCCTGAGAGAACACAGCTCTGCATAYAGCTGAGATGTCACGCTAAGACGGAGCTAAGTCGGGTCCCCAGACTAGGACTGACCTAATGGCTACTTCAGAAGCAAGAATGGAGTGAGAAGTGGAGCTCCCTCACTAGGGAGGCAAAGCCAGGTCTGAAGCAAGCACTCTTCCCCAAGCCCTCCAAGGCTCCAAACCACCCCCCCCCCAGAGAGCAGGGACACAGGTACATCCTCTCTGCTCTGAGAGAGAAGCCCAGGCTCAGCATCTGCCCCTCACAGCTCAACATTTTTGTCATTCTCCCACCTTAGGATGCCCATAAGGTGCCAGGGCATGGTAAAAAGTGACTAAGGACGCTAAGACTGCCTTTGTGCACAGCACACCCCAGCAGCTGGGATGCTGTTCCTGGGACACTATGGCAGGTGCCTCACTACAGTGCCTCCGAGTCAGCCCTGAGCTGCTAATTTGGTCACATGAGGACCCAGGAAATGGGCCTTGAAAACAACAGCATTCATCATGTGGAAGAACTGCATCTCAGTGTGGAGGCTTCACACAGGGTGCCCTGCAGAGGCAGTGCTGGCCCAGGCCCACCTGCGCCACAGAGCCCACCCTCCTGCCCTCCTGAGCTCTGCACATGTCTCACTGTGAGGAACTAATGCGTGTGCTGTCGATAGAAGGCCAGCCCAGGCTGGAGCTGGCCGCTGAGCTATCTTTGGCGAGGCCCAGACACTGCCCTGCTGGGCGTCCCCATTAGGTTCACTGGCTTCAAGACAATGACAAGGTCCCTTCATCTGGGGACTACTCCCATGTCAAGTGCAAAGCTGTGGTTCCATGGGGGAGGGAGGCCAGAGCAGCATATGTGTCTACAATACCCAGCTCCTGGGTTTCTGAAGGAAAACCAGTGACCCAGACGGAAGAAACATGAAGGGAAAGAGGGAGGGGATGTGCCACCAGTGTCACCCTGCCAGAAACCACCGCACGGCCTCACCAGGTGGCCAAGCTCCTTCTCGGAACCCAGAGTCTGTGCAGGGTTTTTAGAATCCAGTTCTTCACCCACTCATAACCTCCCAAATGCGGACAAACACTGCAAAATTCTAAGCCAGTATACTCCCAGCCCACGGGGCTCAGGGCCACCCTGCCTAAGGTCCTCAGCACACAGCCAGGGACAGGAAGGGTGACTGCCCCCTCCTCACCATGTAGAACTTGTCCAGGCGCAGTCTGTCGATGCCGGCCCACTCGCGGTTCATGGTCTGCCAGAACGTCTGCAGGAACAGGTGCTCTGGGGGAAGAGCCATGTCAACACTGAGTCACAGAGGGACACAGACACTCTGGGAGGGCGGGGGAGAACAGAAAGTCCCCACTSAGAAAGCCACCCATGGGCAGCCTCTGGGGTTTCTCAGTCCCAGCCGGTTTAGCAGAAAAGTAACACTAGATAAGTTTGCTGAGTAGACAGGGAACTCGGGCACAGAGACCAGAGGTCAGCCCAAACCACAGCCTCGTCCTCCAAGAAAGGCACACGGAGGGAGCAAGGCGGCTGGCAAGAGAAGCAACCCTCGGGCCTTGTCCTCCAGCTCCTCTGCTGCCACATTGGCTCAGGCTGCACACCTCCTGACACCCAAAGACAGTGTCACCAAGGCAGTGTCAACTGTACACAGGTTTCTCAGTATTCAATCCATGAACCCAACAAAATGCATGACCCTACATTATACATGATAACAGTGTGTCGGACACAGGACACTATGGGTTGAACTACGTTCTCCTAAACTAACATACAGAAGTCCTAACCCCCAGTACTTCAGAATGTGACTGTGAAGGCAAAGACAGAGTCTTCTTCACAGACTAAAATGAAGGTGAAACAGGGTCACTAGTGTGGACCCTCTTCTAATCTGACCGGTGCCTATATGTGCGTGCACACAGACAACACCATGAAGACACAGGGAGAAGACACTGTATGCAAGCCAAGGAGAGGGTCCCCAGGGACCATTACTGCCCATGCCTTGGACTTAAGACACAAGGAGGGCGACTATCTCCCTCCACAAAATCCCTGCAGGAGCAAAGGGCTGGTGATACCACCCAGGCACAGGCAGGCCTGGGTTTACTAAATCATGGGAGGTAGGCCAGGCAGACAACTTGGGCTGTGCTGAACACAGCAACTGTTCTGCAAGAGCTTAGGAAGAAACAATCAGGGAGCATGGATCTACTCCACCAGTTACTCAACACAATGAAAGTGTCTCCCAAACCTAGATGCCAGGTGGGCACCCCTAGTGTAGGTGGCTTCAACACAAGGGAACTAAAACCCACTGTGCATGCAACTAGCACCAGGAGTACCACTCCAGCTGCCGTCAGGGACACTCTCAAAGCTGGCTGTCCTCAGTGCAGTGTGGGGAGGCCTAAGATGCTAATGCCCAGGCTGTGCCCTGGGAGCTGGGGTGAACAAGGACTGGAGGTCAGGATTTTCACAGGCTGTCCAAATGGTTCTGATGGGCAGGCAAGATGAGAACTACTCATCATGGACAGAATGAAGAGCTAGAGAAATATACTGCAGGAATATCAAAACAACAGGTAGAACTCAGTCAATTCATTTTAATTTAAAAATGCAGGACCTCAAGCCTCATTTGCTCTTAAGTCTACTTGGGTAAGTGATGGTGCAGCCTGAGTACTCAGAGCCATGTTTCACACATGACAAGCACCCAGATGCTGGCTTATTCTCACTCTAGACTTCAGACCACACACTTCGGTGTCTGATGGCTTAAATCTCAGTGACTCTGGCATCTACATGTGGGCTTTACTACAGCAGCGTACTCACGTGTCTCTGTGGTCTGAAAAGCATGGACGAGCTGGGAGATTGTCCTTCCTAGTTCTTCCTGTGCAAAAAATAAGAAATACACCCTCAGTCCCTGAAACACTGTGTTCTTACAATAACAAGTCAACACAAAGATCCACTGACTCATTATAAACAGCCAGGAGCAGTGGGTCTCAGCGTAGTAGACTTGAGTTGTGTAATTTCCCCCAGCTGAAAAAGAACCCCCACCACAGACAGTGGCAGTCACTACCCTCCTGCCCAAGGATAAGCACAAGAAGGGGCTGGTTAAAAGGGGAAAGTGAGAGCAGGGAACCTCTTATCAGCAGGAGCTGAGGCCAAGACCTAGAAGTCACTATCTGCCTGCCTCTGTGTCAGGCATCACCCAGTGTCCATGCTAAGACAGCAGAGCCCACAGCCTCAACTGAGAGAAGGTTGCTTAGTAAGTACAGAATATGAGCTAAGACTCAGCATTTAAATAAGCACCTTCACACCCAAGTTACTTTAAAGAGCAAAGAACACTTTGAAAACCACTGTTCTAAAGGTCAGTAGGAGAAATCCTTATCTCAGAAGACCTAGTTCTATCCCCTGAACTTCATTATTTCAGCACTCAGTTTTTAACCCAATGGGACATTTCACCCTTGTCCTGGCCATCACTGCCACTGTCAGTGGCACAGTGGGACTTGACTCAGCAAACCATGCCTGTCCTTAGTACAAGCCAGAGCCACTCTAATCAAAGACCCTGTCCTCCTGCCAGATAGAACACAGCACTGAGGGCACACAACTTCACCCAGCATCCCTGGCCATGCTCAATGCCCGCTTGTCCTCCCACACTGTGGCTTCCTGCCCATGCACTCACCTGCAGGAGTGGTTTGTCTTGCATCCACATGCAGTAAAACAGCCCTTTCCATACCTTCAGCAGCTCATCATGTGTGAAACTACCTGTGCCAGAACAGTGACATTCAGACTAAACGAACCTCCACCCCAACCTCTTAGTGCCAGTCACCCAGTGTTTGGATTAGTCCAAAGTCCTATCTGCTGTAAAGGTAACTGGAGTAGTCTGTCCCCTCCCCAAGCAATTCTTCCAGTTCAGTCCCTGTGGGACCCTCCTCAGGTAACTTCCTGTACTCACTAAACATTGAGGCGCAACAGGCAGAAACCAGGTACCCTGGAATTCCTGAGATTCAAAATTCAGAATTTAACCCCTTCCTGAGTGGATGGTGGCCCTAAAAGTGAGTTTACTGGTGGTCATTCACCCAGTGTTACATGGAATTCTGTGCTTCTCTGTGTTATGCCTCAAACGTTCAAAGAGAATTCACTCGGTCACTAGGGAGGGCAAACGAGGTTGACAAAGGCTGCAGTGTGTGGACCAGAGTCCCCTGTGGAGCTTCCTAAAGCCAGGTCGCTGAATCTGCGCTGAGACCCTAGAATCTGCATTTCTAAGGATGCACAGGCGTGGTGCTGAAGCTGTGGCAGGGGTGGGGCAGGCCTGGAGAACCGCGGTACGATGAAGGGTTCAGCAAGAAGCGTGTGCTGGCCCTCGTGGAGGCTGGCAAAGGAAAGGTGGACACGCCACCAGCTACACAAGCCGATGGGGAGGAGCCGCGTGGCACACGGCAGGCTGGAGCAGCAGGAGCGCACGTTCTGCTGGGGGTTACCCACAGGAGAAGGCCCGACGGGGCCTGGAGAGTGTGGCCGTGGAGCCTCGTGTCACCGTCCCACTACACCCGGCGGCCGGGGCGGGAGCCCGACGCGGTGGGGACGCGCCGCCGGCCCCGCGAAGGCCCCACGCGGTCCCAGCTCCAGTCGCCGCCGCCCCTCGGTGTCCCGCCGGCACCCCCGCCCACCTGTGGCCCGCTGGGTCCTGGCGACGATGTACTTCCGGAGTTTCCGCACCGCCCGGTCTCGGGTCACCTGCTCGTTCCCCGCCAGGCGCTGAGCCAGCTGGATCTCGGGCGGGAGCTGCGTCTGCGAGACCATGGCGACTGCGGCGGACATGCAGGAGGGACCGAGCTCAGATCCGAATCCACACCGCAGTTGCGGCGCTCCCGTGACGTATGCCACGTCACCCTCCCGCGACGGCGCGCGTCCTGCGTCATCCTCCCGCGACGCCGCGCGCCCTGCGTCAGCCCCCCGCGACGCCGCTAGGACGCACTCCGTCGCCCCGAAGGGCTGGGAAAGTGGGCGGCTGGCGCGGTCGGGGAGTAGGTGGCGCGCGGCCCTCCCCGCGGCCCAGGAGGGCGCCCTCGGAGGATCCCTCGGAGGCTGTCGCGTGCTCTGCCAGGCCCTGCGCCTCAGCGCTGAGCGGAGAGCGGGAAGGGCCGTCGCCGCTCCAGGCCACGGGTCGGGCTCTTCAGCGCCTCTACCTGGCGCCTGAGCGGCGGGCCCTGAGCTGGGCCGGACGCGCCTCGGAAGCTTGAGCGGAGCCGGGCCACGGAACGGGCCGTGAGCGCCGTCTGGGGAGGTTGGGAAGACGTGCGTGCAGACGCGATGCTGGTGGGCGCAGAAAGGCTGTGGAACCTCTTGGGTGTGACACTGTGTTTGTAAAAGGGGACCCAGCTGACCTCGAAAGGGCCCTGTGTCAGGGGACCCCGAGTGTCCAGAGCCAAGGACCACGCCGGGCTCCACGATTTGCTAGGAGGACTCACAAGACCAGCGGACACTTGGACTCAGGTTAGGGACCTAAATCTGGCCGCTCAGCACATCACAGGTCAATCAACAGACAGGAAGGTGGGTCTGTTTGAGAAGCTGACTGCCCGAAGTCCCTCTTGCCAGGAGGCCGGTTTAGGGGTGGTTTAGTGGGAGGTGAGTAACGGAGCTTTGAGGCTCAGGGCCCGTCATATCCTAATCACCTAGTCACAAGATGCTCTTCACTTCTGCAGATCTCAAGATCAAAGATCAGCATTTCCTTGTTACTCGCTCATTGAGTAGTTTTCAGTTCCTGACATTACACTATGGACAGGCTGGGGAGCTGATCACTAAATTCACCAGAATGCAAGAAAATTGCCAGGCATGGTGGTTCTCACCTGTAGTCCCAGCGACGTGGGAGGGCTAAGGCAGGAGAATCACAAGTTTGAGACCAGCCTCAGCAATTTAGCAAGGTCCTTATAACTTAGGGAGACCTGACTCAAAATAAAAAATAAGGGCTGGGGATGTGGCTCAGTGATAGAGTGCCTTTGGGTTTAATCCCTTGTATGCCCCCCACCACCAAAATAAAGAAGTCAAACAGTTCACCTGACTATTGTAGAAGAGGAGGGCCAGGCCAGGTCAGGTAGGGAGGTGGACAAGACATCTGGGCTCAGTGCTCAGGTTCATGTGATTTATCACAGAAGGATGAAAAGCAAAATCTGCAAAGGGAAAAAAAGGTRCTTGGGGTGGGGGGCAGCCAGGTGGGAGCCCACTTGAGACCTCTGGGTGGAATCACATGGGATGTTCCTGATCTCCCAGAAGTGAGTTGTGACAACTTGTGTGAAATGTTGCCAACTAGGGAATCTTCTTTGAGACCAGTGCCTAAGGGTTTTATTAAGATCTAGTCAGGTAGCAGCTTCTTGGAACATACCAAAATGTCAGACTCCCAGCAGGAAAGCAGGTGTTCATCATAAGCCATATTGTTTGTATGGATTAGGCAATGATACCCTCTTCTCAGAATGTGGGAACGCTCCCGAAATCCAGGCTCCCCAAAAGCAGGCCTTTCAAAGAGCAGCAGTCAGATAAAATACTTTCAGTTTTGTATGCTGAATAATTTTGTATTGTAGCAAAAAAAAAAATTCTGTGCAAATGAATATAGCTGTGTTCAATTACAGTTTTACTTATTTAATTTTTAGTACTGGGGATTGAACCCAGGAGCACTTAACCATGGAACCACATTCCCAGCCCTTTTTGAGACAGGATCCCAAGGCTGGCCTCCAACTTGCGATCCTCCTGCTTCAGCCTCCTGAGGCACATGCCTATAATCCCAGCAACTCAGGAGGCTGGAGCAGGAGTATTGCAAGTTCCAGGTCAGCCTTGGCAACTTAGCGAAACCCTGTCTCACAGTAGAATATAAAAAGGGCTTGGACCAGTGCTGTGGCACACACCTGTAATCCCAGTGGCTCAGGAAGCTGAGGCAGGAGGATTACAAGTTCAAAGCCAACCTCAGCAAAAGTGAGGTGCTAAGCAACTCAGTGAGACCTTGTCTCTAAATGAAATACAAAATAGGGCTGAGGATGTGGCTCAGTGGCTGAGCGCCCCTGGGTTCAATCCCTGGTACCAATTTAAAAAAAGGTATAATAAATGCACAATGATTCCTCTTCAGGAAACTGTTGGGTAGTATTAATGAGCAGTGAAATGCAAATTAATAACATAAGTAGGGTCACCAGTGTTCTTCAGATTGCTTTTAAGACTAATGAATAATTGAGTTACTTACAGAAAAACAACAGGTGTACTAACACTGAGAGTAAACAGGTGGACACAAAGGAGCCAATTGAGAAATGTGGAGAGGAAAGAAGGAAAGATCAGGGCTGGGGATGTGGCTCAAGCAGTAGCGCGCTCGCTCGCCTGGCATGCGTGCGACCCGGGTTCGATCCTCAGCACCACATACCAACAAAGATGTTGTGTCCGCGGAGAACTAAAAAAAAAAWAAATATTAAAAAAAAAAATTCTCTCTCCTCTCTCTTTTAAAAAAAAAAGAAGAAGGAAAGATCAGTGGGGCTGACTCCTGCTGGGCTAACTGGGATCACTGCATAGTTAGGATTGATGGCCTTAGGTTCCTCGGTGCACATCAGAGGAGACGGTTCTTCAGTAACACCAGTGAGCTAAGATAAAGTCGGTCTGGTCACCGACCACAGCAACTACATTAACAGGATTGACTTGTAGATGAATCCCCACCATAATCACCATGGCAGTTCCTGAAAGAACCAACTAGGCAATACCCCACCCCCACCATGTGGAGGAGGAGGTAAACATGCTGGGTAAAGACTGTAGAAGGTGATGTCAGTTCCTAGGGCAAACGCAGAACTGTAATAAATTTATTGATCTCTGCAGGGAGGTGGCCCACTTTCTCTGTCTTGAGGGTGTTCTTTGTTTGAGCCCTATTTTACTTTCACTTCTTGTTCGGCCTTTCGTGTCTGCCATTAAGTTTCCTTTTGTGGGAACAAAAGAACTGAGGCTTGGGGCATCAGCTTGCCACTTGACTGTGACAGAACCATCCAGGATGGGTATTGGAATTAGTGGGGTGGAGTGCTTGCCTAGCATGCATGCAGCCCTGGGTTCCATCCTCAGCACCACAAAAAATAAATACATGAAATTAGTGGGTAAAAGTATGAAAACGTGTGCCAGGTTTCCAAGGACTAACGACAAAGGGAAAGCAATATCTTTCCAATAAAGAGATCAGAAGACGCCCCCTCATGAAGTGACCAAGGCATGGCCAGAGCTAAGACATCAATGTTCTTAGGATGCCCTAAGAAATATTCCTCAAAATGACTGAAACTTTCCCCGTTCCTCTCAAACAGAGTGCTGTGTGGGAGAAGCCTGGACCAGAAAAAGGGCCTCTGGGGGGGGGCTGGGAGAAGGCGAGGGGTCACAGACCAGTCACTGGCACAGTACCGCTATGCTGGCTTCCTGCTTTGGGTTACTGTACCATTGTGTAAGATGTAAGCCTTTGGGGACGCAGGAAGAGCTGGCAGGAGCTCTGTGTTTTTTCCCAGTACTTAGGATGAAACCCAAGACCTCTACTACCAAACTACATCCCTGATCCTTTTTATTTTATTTTGAGTCAGGTTCTTGTTGAGTCTAAGCCCTTGTCCTGAAGTGGTGGGGAAACAGAATTGGGGCCAGATCTGAAAGAAGGTTATCGGGAAGCTCAGAATCAAGGGTTAACCAATAGCACTGGTACTTTTCCAAGCACTGATGGGCATAATWTGGACCACCAGCATTGACCCAAGAGCTATATAAGTCCCTAGACTAGCACACTCAGAAGACAACTTGTAATAGGGTCCCTTCTCACCGTCTTTTATTTTCATGTGAATAAATCCTAGTCCTTTCACTCCTGCCTTCCATTACTGTCTGTGGATTTCATTCTTTGAATTTGCAAGACCCAGAAAGAAACTGTCCGTGAGCTGCTGGGGTTGACTGTGACACCCAGGCATAGCCCATCACTAAGAGCTGCCACACACCACTGGATAGTAGTGGGGAGGAGTCCAGCTGCACCCTCTGAGCTGACTGGTTCACTGCTAACACTAAAATGGGCTTTCTCCGTGGCAGAGGCCTGCAGGTGATGCACACCCCACCCACCAGCAGAAGCAGAGAATCTAGTTTCACCTCAAACTCCAGTTTCATCTCTGTGTTGCCCAGACTGGCCTGGAACTTGGAATCCTCCTGCCCCAGCTTCCTGAGTCACTCAGATTCCAGGTTGAACCACTGCACCTGGCTTCTGCACTATTTTTGAAAATTATTTCAGAATAAAAGATTTTGAAGATTCTAAAAAGGAGATAATCTGACAAGAATTTGATTAAGGCAATAATTTTACAAATTCATAGACTCTACATTTTGCTATCAGCTCCCATAGGCAGGGATTTTTGTTTGTTTCCTGCAACCAGAACACTGCCTCACTGATGAGTGTGTAAAAAAGCTGCCTGCTGGGTCTCAGCAAGCACAGAAGGGTGCACACTGTCCCACAAATAATCAACTCCAACGTCTGGTCTCCCTGCAACATCAGGTGACCCACGTCCTGCCCTGAGGTTGTCCTGTTGTCCTCTAGAGTGTCAACACTCCACGATCGGGGGCCCTGTGGTTTCCTAAGCCTTGGTCTTTCAACTCCAGGCTCAACTTGATGAAGACATGCCAGTCCAGGTGTGCATATGACATCCTTAAAAGCACAGCTTAACCCCTATGCTCGGGAACATATATGTGACAAACAGGGAGGAAGTACCATTTCTGGGGCTACTGTGACAACCACCACAGACCTGCTGGCTCAACACAGTAGGAACTCCTTCTCACAGTCTGGAAGCCTGAAGTCCAGGGTCAAGCTGACAGGCTGCCTGGGGCGTGCCCCCTGAGGGCTCCAGGCTCCTTGGCTTTGGCTGCTGCACTCATGCTCCAGTCTCCGCCTGTCTGCACTGGGCCTTCTCCCTCTGTCCATCCTCACCAGCCATTCTTTCTTTGTGTCCTCTTCATATCAGGACACCACCATTGGACTCAGGGCCCACCCTGGTCCAGCAGGATCTCCTCTTAACTAATTACATCTGCAAAGACCTTATTTCTGTGCCCATGAAAAGTCTGCCACTGCCACCGAATACAGCTAACAGCTCAGGAGACAGATGGACGGAGAAGAAAGAGCCTGACGGGCAGCAAGCCACAGGTGGGGGTGGAGAGCTGTCCCCAGACTCCGTCTCTCCCAGACTGCAGGTGCAGAGGCTGGGATGGGGCTCCTGGGGACCCATTTTTACCATAGCTGGTGGCACCAGCATGGTCACTGATCCTTGCAGGAATCAATTCTCTCACTGTGGCTGCGATGCTGTCTCCAGGTCACCTGGCATTCTGGGTGTTCCTGTTCCTCTAAACACGAAGGGAAGATGACCACTGAGGCGGGCGGGTGGCTACCACTCAGCGGTGCCCTCCCTCCCACTTCTCTTCAGTCAGGTCCTTGAGGACGAACAGTGCAAGTTGACTCCTAGTGCCAGCGCCAGTCAACCTCTCACCAACTTCATTTCCAAAGTGAGGTCACACTTGCGGGTCCTGTGTGGATTTGACTTTTGGCGAACACCATCTAGTCCACTCCAGGTGTGGGAAAGGAAGACAGACCACGCCCACTGCACTCAGGAAGGCCCACTGTGTGCCCAGGAGTTCAGGCGCGCCTTCACGGAACCTAGAAACCCTCTGCAAGGGAGGTGCCATGCTGACCCTCTGGCAGATGGACACAGAAGCTTCCAGGTCAAGCACCGGGTCCAGGGCATGAGTGAGAAGGCAGAGCACGAGTCCCAGCAGGTCCCAGCCAGGACACATCCTGAGCTGGGATGTGGTGTCCCTGCGGGATCTCCCTCCACCCCTTATTACAGGACACGGGGAAGGAGCTTCCCAGGGCCTGACAGAACGAAGCCTAGGTGTTCATTCATTATTTTCTATGTATAGAATTAAAAAATAGTTTAATCACACCATAGTGCTAATTTTGTGAACTTCTTTCACTAACACCGAGCATGTTCCACAACATCACCGACTTCTCAAAAGGCATAACATTCTAAAATAAAACAACTTTTTTTTCTAAAAGAAAATTTTTGGGGGGGTACTGGGGAAGCGCCCCAGGGGTGCTTAACCACTGAGCCACATCTCAAGGCCTTTTTATTTTTTATTTTGAGACAGGGTCTCACTAAATTGATGAGGCTGACATTGAATTGAAATCCTCCTGCCTCAGTCTCCCAAGCTGCTGGGATTACAGGCATGCACCAATGCACCTGGCTCAAAAGGGTTTTTTTTTTTTTTTTAAAAGGTCTTTTTTTTTTTTTTCCTTGTTGGGCATGATGGCACACTCCTGTAATCCTCAGGAGCCTGAGGAAGGAGGATCACAAGTTTGAGGCCAGCTTCAGCAACTAGTGAGACCCTAAGCAACTTAGAAAACTCTGTCTCAAAATAAAAAGTAAAAGGGGCTGGGGATGAGGCTCCGTGGTAGAGTGCCCCTGGGTTCAGCCCCCAGAACTCCAAGAATACATTCAGAAAGATACAGAAAATTGCAGAGGTGAGTTTTAAAATACCTGTCCCACCCCCCAGGATGGCTAATGTGAAGTCTATGCCCTTCAGTTCTACAGGCATCTATCCGAACCCCTGGAGTCTCCAGGGGAAGGGCCCAGGAACCCGCATGGCACTTGCACCCGCACGCTGTCCTGTGAGTACTCCCTGGTAACTACAGTGCTCCTTGCTGTGGGAGGAGGCCGGGTACTGCAGTTGCTTCCACTTTCTGTGAGGGCCATGTTTATTGATAAATCTTCTAGCAGCCATTAATTTTCCTGTGATAATTGTTTGGCTTGACAACTTTAATTTTGAAGTCTTGTTTTCTTATTTCCTAAGCGTGTAGGTGTCAAGTACTTTCCAGGCCCTGCTCTGTGGCAGACGTGGAGGTGGGAGCAGACATCACTCCCTCCTACCAACACAGGGCAGCTGGCTCCCTGGCAGAACCGGTGGGAACCTACAGCCCTGCCTTGTTCCCGCCTTGTTTCCACAGCTGTTACCTCCCACTTGTAAAACTGTCTGTCCACAGGGGAATCTCCAAAAGCGCCCAGGGAGACACGGAGACAGAGGTGGTCAGGACAAGAACAGCAGGTGTGCCCCCAAAGTGGGGTCCCAGCGAAGGCTTCTAAGCTCAGCAAACTCTGCTACCACTAGGAAGTAGGAGTGGCCTCTGTGTTGCCCTTGACTTACCCTCATCTTTGTGAGCTCCCCGTCCTTTCAGAGATGGCCGGCTTAGAGGGGCCCATCTCAGAGGCAAAGCCACCACCTGCCCCACGTGGGTGTCCCAGAGCAGCAGGCTTAGGGTGGACTCCCCATGCTTTGGTTGCCCCCCTCACCGGCACCTGACCTCTGTTCTGCTGTTTCCCTTGAAATGGGCAAGTTGTACATTAATAAAGGCCCAGCTGTTCAAACTGTCAATGCTTCTTTCCCTCCCAACCAGTTTCAGACTGGGATTCAACTGGTACGAATTCTGATGACAATGTTTTTGATGGGAACTGGGAACAGGTAGATGAGTCACTAGCACAGGAGTGCTAACAAAAGGTGGATTCGCCTGGGGCAGGGCGGACTGTGAGACTCTCAGAGAAACAAATGAATAAATACGGCTGGGATCCACCCTGGGAAAGCAGGGGTTTCACAGGCGAGACTTCAAAATAGTTTGACTTCAAGATCTTGATCTTTCCAAATACAGATTTCAAATGTAAGTGATGCTCAGGCTCTTGTGGTGGGGCCAGGGTGACTCTGGTGGGGAGACAGGAGATTCATTCTTTCCCCAGCTCCTGTAGATGAAAAACAGTGGCACCAAGGAAAGAGGTACAAATATTTCCAGAATATAAGTATTTCCAGAGCGACCCACAGAAAACCCAGCAAAACTCAGTGCATACACAAGCAACAGTGACGATGACAAGCTCACAGCTCCTCTGGAGCTCGCTGTGTCCGGGTGCTAATTCACTCACTTGGTCCTTTAGAGAGCCTTTGGGACTGGTTATGTGTCATCCCCACAGAAAGGTCCAGCAAGCAGTCCCACACCACAGAGCAGGGACCAGGGCTGCATCCACACCCTGGCAGGTGGGCTCAGAGCCAGCCCTCTGTGGCTCCCGTACATTTGGGTGCGCCCACACCTACAGCAATATGACCCAGAGCAGCCAGACCACAAATGGCCAGAAAACCCACTCACACGACCAGGTACAAGCCAGACTACAAGCCCTGCTGTCCCTACAGAGACCCCCACCCCTTTGCCTTCAGCAAGGCTACCCCCTTCCCGCCCCAGCAAGCCTCATGGAGGTGTTCTGCCCCCTCCCCTCTGCCCTGAGTTCCAAGCTCCAAAAAGAAGCCCCACCTAAATGGTTATGATGTTAACTGTTCTATAACTTCTAGACTTATGGAGACCAGAGCCTCCGGTAACTTTCCTAGCGCCCTTCCTAAGTCTTTAGCTTTGTGTCAACTGCTCTGAGATGTAACCTGCAAGAAAGCAATCTGTCTGAAGAACTACACAGCCAGCTGTGCAGGCCTGTGATCCCAACTACCCAGCAGGCCAGGCAGGAGGAGGTGCTTAGACCCGCCTCAAAGGAGTAGAGCACATGCCTAGCATATGTGAGGCCCTGGGTTCAGTCCCCAGCATCACAGGAACAAACAAACAAAACAAGCCAGGTGTGGTGGTGCACCCTTGAAATCCCAGCAGCTCAGGAGGTTGAGGCAGGACCGTCACGAGTTTGAGGCCAGCCCCAGCAACTTCGGCCCTAAGCAACTTAGCGAGACCCTGTCTCAAAATAAAAAGTGCTGGGGATAAAGCTGGGGTGGTGACTTAGTGATAAAGTGCTTGCCTAGCTGTGTGAGGCACTGGGTTCAATCCCTGGCACCACATGAAAATAAACAAAGGTATTGTGTCCACCTATAACTAAAAAAAAAAAAAAAAAAAAAAATTTAAGTGCTGGGGATGTGGCTCAGTGGTTAAGCACCTCTGGGCTTAATCCCTTGTACCAAAATAAATAAATAAATAAATACCAAGGGCTGAGGATGTAGCTCAGTGGTAAAGCATCCTGGGTTCAATCACAAGCACCAAAAATAAATAAATAAATAAAACTACAGAAACTAGCCCCAGGAGGTCAAGATCCATCAAGCCATTCTAACCAATTAAGGAGGAGACCCACACCCCATACTCTCCCTATAAAAGCCCTGTGTACCCCTGAGCCCCCAAGACTGAGCCTTAGAATGATAGCCCCTCCATCTCCCAAGGTGCCCACCCTTAAATAAACCTAACTCCTTCCTACCAACTCTTGCTTCTCCAGGAGTGGCTTTTGAGTTGCCAGCAGGCCAGACCCTGGGTCAGTTATGTGCTGCTCTTGGCCCAGATAGGCCAGGACAGCTGCTTCTTAATGTCTGTCTCCACTTCCAACTTAGGACCAACCAGTGAGCCTCAAATAATGCCCCTTAAGTCAAGTGCATAGAGCCCTCTTCTAGTGAGCACCACCAGGACACAGCTGGGCCTCACTTTGTCCACAGTGAGGCCCTTCCCCTGCCTACCTTCAGTCTCTGCTGAGGGCCATCAGCCCCTTGCCCAGCAAGCCTTTAATAAACCTGCTTTCTAAGTGTTGGTTCTCCTGGGGTGGCCTCTGTTTCCATAATTTAGTCCCCATTGTAAAAGGAGGGCACTGATAACCCGGGTCCAGCAGAGAGGGAGGATCAGACACAAGGAAATCTCCATGGGACAAACCTCCCTGCCTCTGTCCTTGGCTACCTATTTTTTGATGCTTTGTCTTCTACACAGAGATCTCCATTTTTACTGGGATGGAATCCTCACTCAATAATCAAGGGAGTCTGTCCCTCCCCGGCCTCAGGCCAACTGCACTGACTCCCCACCTTCAGAAAGTTGCAGCATCCGATGCCCCCCTCCACCTCCCCTCAGAGCTGCTTCTGCTGGGACAGTGAGACAGCACCTTGGAGTGGACCAGACCAGTGTCCACCGAGGAGCAGCCCTAGAGGGTGAGGGGGAGGCTGGATCTTTCTGAGACTAGCCCAGGCAGCACCCAGCACGAATCCGTCCCAAATGTAGCAGGCAGCCCTTCCCTTCCCCCATGGTGAATCTAACCAACTCCTATACCCAGGTCCCACCAGAAACAAGCCCTTTCCTAATTCCTCGGACACGCCCCTGCCCCACTCCAGGCTGAGGCCAAGTGAGTCATTTCCTTCTCCTTCTTGGGCCCCGGTGTCCTCCCTTGTTCCACATTCCCTGTGTCCCCAGGTGACACAATCCTGATGTCCACTGCAGTCCACATAACTAGCTGGCACCAGTGGGGCAAGGGCCGGGCCTTGCAGAGGAGCGACCCAGGCAGCCAGGCTGTTCTGGGCCCCCGCTTCTCCCCTCGCCTTCCGCAGCTCTCAAGTCCTGCTGGGCCCCCGCAGTACTGGCTCGCACCTGGCGGCAGGGTCGGGCTGCCAGGGCCCGTAGCCGCGCAGGACAATAGGGTGTGGCAGTCCCACGCACTTTGTGCCCACCACCGTACCCTGTGGTACGACGCATGCACACCTCCGCTCACTGCGCAGGGGCCGGGACCCCCAGCTCCCTCGTGAGTGTCTGACCCTACTTCGTGTCCACCCCGCAAGGGGCGCACCTCAGGACCCGTCTCGCAGGGCGGCGCCCGCTCCCACTTCCCGCGCACCCGGCCGCGCCCCCGCCAGGTCCTCGTGACTTGACCACCTGGAGGACGACACCAACTCGGACGGGGGAAGCTCCTTCGCCGGGCCTTRGGTCCGCAGCCGGAACATGCGCGCGTGCGTGGACGTGCGTGGGCGTGCGTGGGCGTTCGTGGGCGTTCGTGGGCGCGGGCGCTGGCGCGAGGGTCTGGAAGACCCCGCCCGCGCCCCGTTCCTAGCCAACATTGCTGGACACCCCCGCGCTTTGGTTTCGCCCGGTCACGTGGGCGCCGCGCCTACTCTGGAGCTGGGCGGACGAAGGGTCCACTCCGCCGGGTCTTGCGCTGTCACTTCGCGGTCTGCTCCGTCCCGACTCCGCCGCCAGCATGATGTGCGGGGGGCCCAGCGCCACGCGGCCGGCCACGGCCGAGACGCAGGACATCGCTGACCAGGTGAGACGGCGGGTCCCCGAGTCCTGGGCGCGGAAGCCGGGGCAGCTGCGGGCTTCAGAGCGGGGACGCGAGGCCCAGGACCGTGCTGGCTCGCCCCCAGGCCGGCGTCGGCATCCGAGCGTCGGGCTGCGGGGCGGGCGGGGGGCGGGCGCTGGGCGCTGGAAGCGCACGCTGGCCCTGGGCAGTCGGCCGTCCGAAAGGCCTCTATGTGTTTTGTGGCTGCGCTTATTCTAGCTTCGTTTTTAAAACTGAGTTTATACTTTTCTCCAAGTAAAAAGTACAAAATCAAAATAAAACCCAGGCCGGGCTGCCCCCTCCCGGGCCTCTTCCCATCTGAAACGCGGTGTCTTCCCCTTCTGCACCTGCCCCGGCAGGCAGGGTTCCCCCTCAATGTTCATCAGCAAAGCCAGGATCCTTCACAAGCAGGACAGGCTCAGGGTTTTGAGTAAGAGGAAAATCCTGGCTGCTGCTTCCTGAGCCCACTGGCATGTGACTGGCTCACCATGTCACTGCCTCGGTGGTTTGGGTCATCTGACTGTAGTAAGGGTAGTGAGTCAGTCCACTGAGACCTTGAAAATGAGGAATTTGCCCAGAATGCACTTGCCAGGGCCCCTGTGAGCCACACTGGAGAAGGTCCCCTCTGAGCTGCTCATAGCCAGCCGTCCTGACGTTTCCTGGGCTCCGTGATTTGTCATTTCTTACTCAGCCAGGACCAGGAGTGGCTGTCTCAGGGGAGGCACAAGTTAGCAGTAGCTTTGCTGCGGGGGAATTTTTAGGATGGGTTCTGAGGTGAGGAGGGGACAGGGGCACCTGCCCAGCACCTCCTGTCACCACAGCACTCTGGTGACTGCGGTTTCTCCCCTTTGCAGATGAGAACAGACATCAGAGACTAGTCCTAGTTAGAGGGAGATGGAGTCTCCCCCAGCCCAGAGGGACCCTGCCTGTGGCTCCCCTGTCCCTGGGCCCCACCTGATCCCCTGAGGGCTGGTAGCTGGCAGCTTCCCAGCCGACTGTGGCCTTTCAGAAAGCCTGCCAACAGGACCAGGAAGCTTCCCTCGGCAGGCAGGGACCTGCCTGGCCCAGGMCCCCGCAGTCCTCCACCACCTGCATTGGGTCTGCTCACTGTTCATGCTGCTGCTCCTGAGGTGGGCAGAGAGCAGCTTTATCTTCTCAGCTCCTGGATGATTTGTTGGACAAGTGACAGCTGGGACTTGTCACTGCGTGTC